CAGGGTAGAACTGTTGTTGGGGCTGCTTTGAAATCTGATAGCCCAGAAATTTAAGTATTTACCCAGGAGTTTGGTTTTCGAGTCTCTACTATCTTTAATTCAAAGATGGGTCTCAACTACTAACAGAAAGCCCATGCAGAATGGATGTCTGTTTGTCTGGTTTGTACCTTCTCCACTGTGTATTTCACTGCAGTTATTGTACGTTCAGAAATCTGCCAGGAGAAAAAACTCTGAAGGACCTGCCTCAGAGCAATCAATTGCTATTATCATCTGAATGCTTGTTTAGAGGATTCTGGAGACTGAAATCAGAGCCCTGCTTTAAGTAAAAGTAGTTCAGATACAGGAACAGTTCCCCTTCACCTACCCCTCCTCTAGCTGCTTGGGAAACATGGAGTGGGATCTTTGCCTTGATCCAGTTTTACCATCAGATTTCTCTTTGTATCAGAGAAGTTTTAAGAGAAAGACTGCCAAGCATAAGCACAATTCTCTGCTTGTTCTCTTTTGTCAGTAACACTCCAAGCTGCTCCATGTCCATCCAGGAATGCTCTCCACAGCCACAATTTTATCTCAAACTCTGAGAAAAAGACACTGACTTACTTTCAGAAACAGCAAGTGGTAGGTCTTGGTTTGGGACGTGACTACAGATCAAAGAGCAGCTACTGCAAGTATATATCCATGTATATCAACTTGGATAATGGATAACCTCACCAAGAGCTCTGGTCAGCAAGCTGCTATAAGACAAGATGCATGATTACAGCATATCTAAATTACTGAACAAGACAACAGTGAAAAAAGTCTGTTGAGATCTTCAATTCATCATCACCCACTGACAGAAAAGTAATTTCCCTGAAGACTGTTCTGTGGAAAAATTCAGACAGAATCAGGCTGAAAACAGGCTGTATCTTGATTTTTAGTGTTGAAGAATTTAATTTCACTTTTAGAATTTTTGTCATGTAGGATTTTTAATTGTGTGATATAACTCACCTTGGGGTATGGAAAATTCACCAATTGTGCAATTTTTAGAAATAAGGTTGTTATTGTTTTATATGGGTGGCAATATAGGCTATGACAAGACATAATTCAGGAAGATTCCATATGTTTCCATATGGGACCACATCTCAGTCATTTTCCCCACCCTACACTGTTTACACCTGTGCATGCTGTAGACTACAACTGAAAATGAATCTGATGCAAAAACAAATCCACAAGCTTCGTCCTTCATATTTTTCTAACTTTCAAGAAATGGAAACTGCAACATTCAAAACAGGTTATTAGCTGTTTAGTAAGTCTTCCCGTCTACAACTTGATCGTTTGGAAATTCAGTTCAAATTACAATTGTGTTGAATCACTGCCCATGAAGGAATAGGTAGTAGTATTCTTATGGAGAGTTACACTGAGACAATCTCTTTCTTAGTAAGTATTAATTTCAAGTGCTGATTATAAAGAACAGTGATGAAGAAAGAGGAAAACAACTACTCAAGACCACTAGGCATCTTTTCCCAGAAGAAATCTGGAATTCATCATTTTTACATGGATGTAACCAGAGTAATCTGCATGATTTGTAAACCTGGAGGTTATTTTCACCTCCTGCATGAGAGTTAGCTAGAAGTAGGGAATATTTTTATGTTTTTAAATGAACTAATATTTCCACATCTTGAAATTTTGATAAAATAGGGATCTAAATGCAGGCCTGATTTAGTTTTCTCACAGTGACCTTAATAAGNGGCTGAGTGGTGGACTTTGCAGTGCTGGGTTGGACTCAATGATCTTAAAAGTCTTTTCCAACCTAAACGATGCTATGATTCTTTGTTATTCCCTTGTTTCCTTTTGTATTTAACTCTTGGTGAACAGATCCTTAATACATTTGCTCCAACAAAGCTTGTTTGGTTGTTGCCATTACAAAAGTCTACATTCCAGAAGGAAACCAAACCCTTTGGCAACCATGAAATTTTCACACAAAAGCTCAGGTTAGTTCTTTAGTGGACCAGATACCTTACACGCACTCTGGGCATGGAAAAAAAATCAGTTCCACAGGCATAAGATACATAATTTCAACTTGGTGGTTTTAATATCATTTAAAAATGGTTCTTAATAACATAAACATGTTTACTTAATGATTCGCTTTGCCTTAATTACAGAGTACCAAGGTGTCATGATTCCATCCTGCATTATTGCATAAGGTCTTCTTAAAACAGATTATTATTTCTGCAAAGGGTAATTAACTGCAAGAATACATCTTTAGACCATCCCCACAGCTTTCTTGCTTTAGCTGACTAGCAAGTCCTGTGTTATGAAAAAGAAGCAGATTTCTTATGCTGAAAAACATCACGGTCGTGCCCCTTTACTTCTTCTAGCTGAATCATTGGGAATTGTACTTGTTTTTCAAACCATTTGGCTACTGTGAGAAGCTGCTGCTCCTGGAATGAACGTCCTATGAACTGAAGCCCAACTGGCAAGCCTCTCTCTGAAAGAGCTGTAGGAACATTTATGGCTGGCAGTCCTGAAGGAAAAAAAGATACACATACAAAGACTTACTATTAAACAGTAGTTGGAGTAATTTTTGTAACAATTCTAAGAGAACCAGAAGAAAAATTATGTAGTGGAGAACGACTAGCTAAAATAATTTGAGTCAATGAACTAAGGATACTGCTAGGTGATCACAAGAAATTAATTAGACTGATTTAAGAAGCCATCATCTCTGAAAAGATAATCAGTTCTCCTTAGAAAGAGATTCAAGTTTTGTCTCCAGAACTGGAATGGATTCATCTTACCTGCAGTCCACACTCAGCTCCAGAGTGCCTCACTTTAAAATCTAGTCTTACATTTTCAAGCATTTAATAAACCATCCTTACACTTGGTTATCACTATAAGAATTACAACATGGGAGTGAAACATCTTGATTCTAAAGAAGAGGTGAAATAGCTAAAGGGACCAGACATTAAAAATTACTAGGCAGGGGAAAACATAGTTTAATTCCTGTCCCTACTCACCAGCCATGTTTGCAGCCTGTGTCAGGATGTCATTTTGTGCGCTGCGGGTTCTGTTGTCTTCTTTGATGAATTCCTTATATGGTGCTGCATCACTCAGAGTGGTAGGAGTGAGTAAAACATCAACACCGCTCCTGAAAACCTTCACAAAGTCATTGGCAATGAGACGTCTGACTTTCTGTGCCTTGACAAAGTACTTCTCATAGTTCCTAGAAAGAAATATGGACATGAGGGCATGACACTTTAATTCCAAAAATACAGAACCTAATTTCTTAGGTACTGTAGAAAAGACAAGCCCAGTATTCCTTTTGGATAAAATTTTGACTCACACTGGTACTTAAGTTTTTGATATACCGTATGCTTAGTCACCATACATGGTGTTTATGCTCTCATTGCAGCAAAGTTGTCAGAGAAGGAAGAGATGAGGGCATTCAGCTAAAGAAAAGTGAAGGGAAAACAAAACCCTTACAAATCAAAACAACCGTTACAAAATCAAAACAATACTTTTATGACCATTTGGAAACTAAACTGTATATTAAATTTCATAGAATCAGAATATCCTGAGCTGGAAGGGACCCTTAGGATTATCTAGTCCAACTCCTGGCCCCACACAGGACAACCCAAAAATGTGTCTGAAAGTGTTGTCTAAATGCTTCTTGAACTCTGTCAGGCTTGATGCTGTGACCACTTCCCTGGGGAGCCCGTTCCAGTGCTCAACCACCCTCTTGGTGAAAAACCTTTTCCTGATACCCAACCTAATTTCACCGCAGGGCAGCACAGCAAAACCTAGAAACAATAAAGAACTAAACAGGCCTGAAAAATAGGAAGTAATCATTTAGGATTCAATCCAGCAAGATACCTGAAGCATATGAAAAAGTCCCATCATTGGTGGAGGATTCTAAATGGACTTAAAACTAAGTATGTGTTTGTAGTATAATTCTCTACAGAATACTATAAAGACCTTATTTTTCCCTAACCCTTTTTTTTGTCCCTCACATAAACATGTGGTCTATGGATTTCCATCTTTACACAACTCTGAAGCAGAAACACATTAGCCAGCTTTATGTCTATTGTTTCTTCTAACTTCATACGCAGAACTGGTAAACGTGGAACCCTCAAATTCAGGAAAGTTCAATTTCAAAAGTAACTGCCATCTAAACCCACAGCTACTTGGGAAAGGAAAAAAAATTAGAAAAAAGGAGGAGGAGGAAGTAAAACAAGAAAAAAAGAAAACAGAAAAAGTGGAATGAAAGGAGGAAAGAAAGACGAGAAAAAAAAAGGGGGGGAAGGGGGGAAAAAGGGTGGGGACAAAAGGC